TTTTAAATTTCATCTTTTCTAGGTTATAATTGACTGAAGCTCTTTGGTTTTTTTATGTGTGTGATTTCAGTTACTGTTTAGTGTCACTTGGTTTTAGCCTCAAGAATTTTCTTTAATATTTCTTCTTAGGTTTGGAGAACAAAGTATCTTAGTTTATGTATTTCTGAGAATGTCTTTATTTCATCTTTATTTTTGCAATATAGCTTTGTTGCATATAGGATATATATGATAGTTTTGTTCTTTCAGCATTTGGTTGATAGTTTTGTTCTTTCAGCATTTTGAATATGTTTTTCCATTGCCTTTTGTCCTCCATTATTTCTGATGAGACCCCAGGTGTTCATTTTGTTGTGGTTTCCTTTTTTTGTGATGAGTCATTTTCAAAGAGAAAATCTTGAAAACAAGTTTTTGGCCTCTATCATTTTGAGTGTGGGTTTCTGTGTGTTTATCCTGTTTGGAATTTGCTAAGCTTTTGGATTATTGTTTTTCATAAATTTTGGGAAGTTTTTAGTCATTATTTCTTCTAACCCTTTTTTTTTTCAGTCCTTGTTTTATCATCATACATATATTGGTGCACTTAATGGTGTCCCACATTTCTCTGAAATGGTTTCTTAGGTAGTATACTTGTAAAAATCTGTTCTTTAGATTGTATAATCTCTATTGATCCTATTTGGAAGTTTGCCTTTTTATTCCTACTGCCAATTCAAATCTGTTGAGCCACTCTAGTGACGTATAAACTCCAGAATTTCCATTTGGTTGAAGTCTTCTAAGATCTGTCCACCCTACACCCAAAAGCAGTTTCAAATGCCTGGTTTTTGTGTGTGTGTGTGCATGAATTATACTTTCCTATTTCTTTGTATATCTTATACTTTTTTCTTGAAAACTGAACATTTTAAATAATACAGAGTGGGACAAAAAGTAGGTTTACAGCCCTGGCAGTGTAGGTAAGTGGTTAGAGCGCCAGCCCATGCACTGAAGGGCTGCAGGTTTGATTCCCAGGCAAAAGCACTTACTTGCCTTGGAAGTTTGATCTCTGGCCCTGGGTGGGGCGGGTGCAGGAGGCAACCAGTCGTTGTGTCTCTCTCTCTCACATTGATCTTTCTTTCTCTTCCCCACTCCCTTCCACTCTCTAAAAATCAGTGGTGAAAAAGAAAAAAAAATAGTAACTTTATTGTTCATAGGGAGAATAAGACAATAATTAAGAAATAATAATACCAGAGCCCTGGCCAGTGTAGCTCAGTGGTTGGAGCATCGGTCCATGTACTGAAAAGGTTGAAGGTTTGATTCCCGGTCAAGGGCACATGCCTGGGTTGTGGATTTGTTCTCTGGCCTCATGTCTGGGTGCATGCTGGAGGCAGCCAATCAGGTAACCAATCGATTAGTGTGTCTCTCTCCCACATCTATGTTTCTCTCTTTCTCTCCTCTTCCCTCCCTCCCTTCAACTCTCTCTAAAAAAGCAATGGATAAAATATCCTTGGATGAGGATTAACAACAACAAAAGTAATAATATAATACAAGAATTAACTGTTTCTTGTACTCACAACTGTAAACCTACTTTTCTCCCACCCTGTATATTATAGCCAGTTGAGAAAATAATTCTTTCTTCCCCGTGAGTCCTATTGTTGTTTGTTCAATTATTTGTTTTAACAACTTGGTTAGACTAATTTTCTGATGTCTGTTTTCCCAGCAGTGTATAGGCTCAGATGGCCTTGCTCAAATGTCTGTCTGTTTTTAAAAATTGATTTTAGAGAAAGGGTGCGAGAGAGAAACATTGATGTGAGAGAAACATCTATCAGTTGCCTCCCATGTATGCCTCTAGTGGGGATCGAACCTATAACCTAGGTATGTGCCCTGACCAGGAATCAAAACTGCCACCCTTGCCCAGCCGGTGTGGCTCAGTTGGTTGAGTGTCGATCCATGCACCAGGAGGTCGCTGGTTCGATTCCCGGTCAGGGCATATGCCCAGGTTGTGGGCCTGATCCCCAGTGTGGGGCATGCAGGAGGGGCCAGTCAGTGTTCTCATAGATGTTTCTCTCTCTCTCTCTCTTTTCCTCTCTCCAAAATCAATAAAGAAAACAAACAAAAACTGCCACCCTTTGGTGTATGGGACAACACTCTAACCAACTGAACCACCAGCAAGGGCTTTTTAAAATTTTATTAAGCCTTCTTATGTTGCTTTTGGATCTACATAAACCACTTATTTGTCAAAAATTGTGCTTAAACCCCCTTAGCTAGTTAGATTTTAATCCTTTGCAATTTTGTGTGTGTGTGTGACTTAGATTTATTTTCCGAGAAGATCATCCAAGGTTCTCTCTTTAGTCCTTTCTGAGAGCATGCAGCCTTGAGCATACACACAGTCTTTTAGACCATCAGGTATGAATGCGATTTTATTTTTAAGTCTGGATTCTTAGGAGCTGCCCTAGAGTAATTTATTGTTCAGCCAGTTTTTGATCATAGGTTGTACTAAAGCCCCCCTAAAGCCCCTTGAGCCTTATTGATTGATGGCTTTGTGTGTGGCTTTAGGGAATGTTTTTAAGTTTGCCCCAAATCCCACTTTGATTTCTCCTGATTGGATGCAACCTACTTCATGTACATAGCCTTTTGGACTCCCAGAGAGGAGTGTGATCCTACAAGGGCCCTTATTTGCTGTCTTTCTCTGGTTCTCTCTTTTGGCTGTTTTGCTGTTTTCCTTGTTTCTACTAATATGTTGGAACTGCCAGTTCTGTCTTAATTGTTCACCATGGAAGTGTTTTTGACAGTGCCCTTAGGCATGAACTTCTCCAAGCCCGGTTCCAAATAACGTCAGTCCTCTCAGAGCTGTTGAGCTGCTTGTTCTTTTTTTTATCCTCACCCAAGGACATTTTTCCATTTTTTGTTCAGATAGAGTGGGAGGGGGAGAGAGGAAGAGAAAGAGAAACATCAATGTGAAAGAGACATATTGTGTGGCTGCCTTCCACATGACCCAACCAGGGCCGGGGACAACCTGCAACTGAGGTACGTGCCCTTTACGGAAACCGAACCCGGGTCTCTCTGGACCACAGGTCGAGGTTCTAACTGCTGAGCCAAACCGGCCAGGGTGAGCTGTTTGTTCTTAAGGCCCACAGGGCAGAACCTCTGCACTACTGCTCTGGAGCTGTAATGGGGACAACTCCCTCCCTGCTTCTCCAGAAGAGTCAACCTGTCCTATGACAGGGTGCTAGGAGGAAAGGGGATAGAGTAATTGCTGAATACCTGTTCCTCCTAGCTTGTCCATTGTATAGCAAGCTGGGAAAGGGGTGATAGGACTTCAGGATATCTGACCTCTTGTTAAGTGGGAGTTTATGAGTGGGACCTACTAGGGGAGAGTCACTGGAGAGCTGGCCCTCCTAGGGTAAAATTATAGCCTTAGATTAGGAGCTGGGATGAGAGGAAGTTCTTATCTTCTTGATCACACTCAACAGAAGGGAACTTTCATCACAGGGATCTAGCACTGTGTGTGGAGGTAGGGTGGTGGTATGGGAACAGATCATGGCTCAAATGTCACAGACACTGTTCTTATGGAAATTTAGTAGATTTTCTTGAATAAAATCTCTATTTGTTGCATGTCTTTAGGAAAAATTTTAGACATCAGACTTGTTTTTCACCTGTGAAATGATTAGTTCACTGGAACTCTTCAGTCTGCCATTCCAGTAGTCTGGATGATCTACCTCCTCTTCTTTTTAATAAAGACCAATTATAATTTTCAATTTCATTGAATAGTCAAATGATGGTGTTTTTTTTTCACTGTCAGCTCTTTGGAAGTTACTGAGGTGATTCTTTGAGGCCTGTTTATGTATTTTCCCAGAATTTCACTATATAAAATGTTACTTTTTTACTTAGCACTGTCCTTTTTTTATCTTCTTGATCATTTGTGGGCTAAAAAAAAATGTATGTTACATTCTTCCATTGTGATTATTTGATTTTTTTTCTTGTAATTTGAACAGTTAGAGAAATTCTTATTCAGTATGTCTTGGTTGGTTTTGTTCTAACTTGGGACTTTGTATAGGTATTAAATAATTTTTGTAATTCAATTCAGTCCAAATCCTTATTTTTCAACAGAGGATTTGATATTCATTTGCCTGACTAAATATTAGGCTATTTTGGTAAATATTATTGAATGATGTTATTTGGTATCACAATGCATAGTAGGGGAAATCTCTCTAGCTCTAAAAATTCATGTGATCATATTGAAGATGGCTAGGTGTTATACCTTATTGCTGTTCAGAAATTGGTCTCATTTTAGAAGAGTGTCACCTGAGAATATGTAGTTAGACATTAATTTTTGTATACTCAACTTCTAGTCAGCTGGTAATTTTATTCATTATAAAGATACTCGTAGATTGCCATTTATCTAATCCAATCTTTCATGAAAAGTGGTACTGTCTATCAGCTATTTTCTTTTGGGAAAAGGAAACAGGTAGATGTCAGTCCAAGTTGCTGGGAGTGTTCATTGGCTGATATCTCTTGGGGGTATCTCTGACCTTCTTAGCTAAAGATTCTTAAGGACAGATGCAATGGTCCAAGCCTTGCTTACTCACATAGGACTTTCTTTCATATCTTATCAAACTCCCTTAGATATGCTTAATTCCAGAAGAAAGAAAGGATAGAACCTCTTTTTACAACCTTGTAACGGGAATCAGTTGAATATTGGTGAGGCGGTTTTAAGACCAAGGTGTAGTAGGCTATGTTTTGGTCTCTGATTTCAGTACCTGTGAAGATTCGTTTCTTGCATGGTTTTTGAGTCTAAGGAAGACAGTGTCTTTGTGAAATCCTAGGTCTATTTATATATTCTTGTTTATGTTTTCATATTTGTATTGTTTGTAAAAATTAGGTTACTGTCAGAAAAAATGAATTTATGTTTTGAAGTAAAGTAGGTTAGATAGTAAACTGTGATCTTGACTTCTGAAGATAAGTGTAAAATTCAGATTCCTGTAAAGCACTTGTGAGGTTCTGTTTCATTTTTGTTTTCGTTTCTCTATCCTAAGACTTGCTACATTTGTGATGAACAAGGAAGAGAAAGCAAAGCAGCCACTGGTGCTTGCATGACATGTAATAAACACGGATGTAGACAGGCTTTCCATGTGACATGGTAAGTATGTTTCTATCATTGTACAGAAATGGGGAATACCTTGTAAATGAAAGATTTAGTTAGGTACACAAATATTATTTACAGTACATTTTATTGGGAATTTAAAGTAATTCTAATAATTGAATGTGAATTTCACCAGAGAGAATTTTCAGTAGGTACATCCTGGTTCTAATGTCTTTATTCAATTTCATTTTGTTTAAAATATTAGTGTTGGTTACCTACTCTTTGATTTGTTACTAGGATTAAAAAAACTGATATGGGTAAACTTAGTGCAGTGCTAGAAAGGATTTAATGAATGATAGTAGTATTTCTTTGCTATCTGTGTTTTAAGGTGGGAAAAAAGCAATTACCACTTAGTATTTTTTTTTATTTATTGAGTTTTACAGGGAGAGGAAGAGAGTGGGGGAGGGGAGTGAAACATTGATAAGATAGATCATCGATTGGCCGCCTCCTGCTTGCCCCACACTTGGGATCAGGCCCACAACCTGGGCCTGGGCCCTGACCGGGAATTGAACTGGTGACCTCTTGGTGCATGGGTCAACCACTGAGCCACACCAGCCAGGCTATCACCAGTTAGTATTATAGTGGCTACTTCTTTAAAAAGTCACTTAGATGGTTTTTCAGCCTAAAATTTCAAGAGCAAAAATTATACTAAAAAATTCAACATATATTAATTAGACAGTACTTCAAAATAAAAGTCTATAAATAATCTATTTACTTACCAATTTTAAGAATCAGTTTATATTTAATAGTATAGGCACATACTTTATTTCCTGAACTCTTACTGTGTGGATTTATGAAATCTATTTTAGATTACCATTGGGAAATGGAAAGTATTTTTGGTTTTTATAAATTTTCTTAATACTGAACTTAATTTTCCAGTGATGAAAGTTCATTTTTTGGGTGTGATTTATACTACTACTGTAATTTTTGAATGTTAAAAGTGGGGGGTTAAATTGAGAAGATGATGATTATAAACTTTAGCACTTTGCATTTTACAAATATATAAATAGGTTTTCAATTCCATTTCTTCCATTGTATTTGATGAAAAACACAACTTATGTTTTTCTTTTTTTTTATCCTCACCCGAGGACATTTTTCCATTTACCTTCAGATAGAGTGGGAGGGAGAGAGGGAGGGAGAGAGAGAGAGAGAGAGAGACATCGATGTGAGAGAGACACATTGACTGGCTGCCACTTACACGACCCCATCTGGGCCTGGGACAAACAGTAACCGAGGTATGCACCCTTAGCGGGAACTGAACCCGGGCCTCTCTGGTCTGAGGGCCGATGCTCTAACTACTGAGAAAAACCGGCCAGGGCACAACTTATGTTTTTCTTGTCTACTGTACTGTGCTATGACTTGAAGCATTTTCCTTCTAACAGTATGGAATCTGCATCCATGGCCAAATACCATCACATGTCATTTCAACTTCTGAAAGGCCTGGCCTCTCCATTTATACCTCTGGTACAGATTGAAAAAGTAAATTGAAGTGTTAATTATTTGAGAAGTGGGGGTGTCTTAAAGAATTCATTGTCTGTTTTGTGATGTAAAACATGCATAAATCTTTATTGTTGTTAGAGTTGGGTAAAACGTTTATATTATACCATAGATATAACTTTTAAAAATATCAACTACAGCCCTGGCTGGTTTAGCTCAACAATTTCAGCATCGGCCTGAAGATTGAAGGGTCTCAGGTTCGATTCCAGTCAATGGCACATACCTGGGTTTGCAGGTTTCATCCGCAACCTCAGTCAGGGTTGTGAGGGAGGCAGCCGATTGATGTGTCCCTCTCACATCAATGTTTCTCTCTCGTTCTTGCTCTTCTGCCTTCCTTCCCTTCCAGTCTGTAAAAAAAATCAATGGAGCCCTGGCCGGTTTGGCTCAGCGGTTAGAGCGTCGGCCTGCGGTCCGGAGAGACCCGGGTTCGGTTCCCGCTAAGGGCATGTACCTTGGTTGCAGTTTGTCCCCAGCCCTGGTTGGGTCATGTGGGTGGCAGCCACTCGATGTGTAGCTTTCACGTCGATGTTTCTCTCTCTCTCTCTCTCCCTCTCACTCTATCTGAGCAAAATATTGAAAAATGTCCTCAGGTGAGGATTAAAAAAAAAAAAAAAATCAATGGAAAAATATCCTTGGGTGAATTTTAACCAAAAAAAAAAATATAACTACAATAGGTTGGGGTGAAAGTGTACTTGGTCACAGCCAGAATAAAACTTTTTATCTTCCCTTTTACTTTTAGAAGATCTAAGGTTTTCTTACAAATCTTACATGCTTAGAAGTGAACTTTTATATATATGTATTGGTTTGAAATGTTATTGATACAGTTGGCTTTAATTTTCAGTGCTCAGTTTGCTGGACTACTTTGTGAAGAAGAAGGGAATGGTGCAGATAATGTCCAATACTGTGGCTACTGTAAATACCATTTTAGTAAGCTGGTAAGAATTTAATATTAAAATACTAAGTGATTAGTATTGACAATAGAGTTGACTTCTTAAAAAAAAGGCATAATAGCTATTCGTTTTTCTTTGATTTTTGCTTGAGATTAGGTTTGCTTAGCATGTTATTCACTGGGGATGAAAAGATCTAGTAATTGTAAAAGATTTTACTTTTCTTCAGTTCATTTATAAAGGTGACTATTCTAAAATTCTAATTTAAAATATATATTAATAGTGATAAATGTTGGTATACATTTAGTAGAAAAAGCAAATGTTTAAAGAACTCTAACTCAATACTATTTTTAGTTAATATGATTTTTAACATTTATTTATATACAGTTTGTGATTGCTTCTCTAGCACTTGTTTCTCATCTTTTTGCCTTATTACTATTGCTATTTATTTTTATATATACATTTATTTACTAGGAGATAGTAAAACTAAAATAAGGCTGTTTTGTAATTTCTTAGTTAAAGAACTTGAGAAAATGTATTTAAATACAACTTGGGGGATATTTTAGATTTGGTCAGTTACACAACAGCATGGATGACTAGGTTAGTAATATTTGATCAACTGTTAAGTATTTTGTGTTTATGTCCTTTGAGGGATTGACCTTTTTTTAATGTCCCAAGTGTCAATTTCTCAGTTGTCATTGATAACAGTCAGATATGTATACTGAAGTTAAAGGCTTCTTTGTTTTCCTTTAATATCTTTTTAAAAAGTTAACATCTTTTATTATTACCTTTCCCTTGTGGATGAAGCCCTCCCTCCCTCCTTCCCCTTCTTCCTTATAAATAATATCATTAGGGACCATGAACAGCTCATAACTCTAATATTCTGATTCATGCATATGAAATACTTAAAAGTGTGTGTGTGTGTGTGTGTGTGTTTGTGTGTGTGTGTGTGTATGTATTTTTGGATATTGAAGACTGATGTATTTTAATGGCTGACAAAGAATATTGAAGTGTGTAAGAAATTTTGAGATAATAAAATAGGAAATTTTGCTTCGTGAATGTTAAAAGCATGTTGGAATTTTCATTTTCTAAATGAGATGATATAGATAAAACAAATAATGAAAATGGATTTTGAATTTTATATAAATAAAAGTTTCTTAGATTGCTAGTTATTTATATGCTGTTCATTTGTTAGTAGGGGAATAAAAAGTCTTCATAATTTAATAAGATTGCATATGCTCTATATTTGCGTGGAATTTGAGCACCTTTTATAGTCATTTTAATATAACTTAAATTAATTATTTATGGTACCACCAGGTTTTAAACACTTCAAATAACTCTGACCATAGTTTATTATGAAATTGTGTAAATACTTTAAACAGAAATGTGCAATACTTCTAGTAATGCTTTGAAAAATGCATGGGTCTGTTAATGGCATTTTCTTTAATTTTTTTCCTCAAGTGTAGAAACAAGTTCTTAGATACTATATGCCTTAATACTGTTTGAGCTTAAAAGGCTTTTTGCTTTTCCTAGTGGCATAAAGTAACTCTTCAAATATTTTCTTATCTTCTAGTCTTGGCATCTTTCTTCAATATGGCATTCTCTATTTTATTTGAAACATTTTTTTTAAAGCAGAAATTGAAAATTATTCAATTTTAAAGTTGATTTCTTTAATGAGGTGGTTTTGTGAAAAAGTGACAAATAAGCTACTGCTTGTTTGAAAATACAGTCTTCACACATTTTAATAAATTACAAAAATATGGCATTAATGTTAATTTAGAGTTAGATTTTTCTTTATAATGCAATAGATAATATATAGATGGTGTCTAAACTGGAGTATATAGTTTACAATAGTGAGACATTTTATTTTTAGTAGACATTTTGAAATACTTCACACTTGAATTGGTTTAAGGATAACAAAAAGATTATTTAAAAATTTTTATATACATATACATATATGTATATATATTTTCTTTTTTAGAAAAAGAGCAAACGGGGATCTAATAGGTCATATGATCAAAGTTTAAGTGATTCTTCCTCTCACTCTCAGGATAAGCATCATGAGAAAGAGAAAAAAGTAAGTGGATTTGTTGTTGCTAAATATGTAGCACATCGACTTAATAGATTTTTGCCTTTTTTAGATAAAATAATAAGTTCTTGATAGCTGATTGTAGACATTGAAATACTGAAATTTTTTTATTAAGTCAAAGAGTAGGTCTAAAATAATGCCATATTTGTGAATATGATTGTACCCATTCAACTGAAAATTTGAAATACAACTTGATTGAAAACATGAGAGGGATTTCTTGAATGTGTTACTGTGATCATCTTGTGAAATCTTTAGGTGACTTTAGCAATAATAGTTTGTTGCTACATATTATTGACCGATTATTTTACATGTAAGTAAAAATCTAATCAGCTTTTTTCTTTATAATAGAATAATTTGGAAGTTCTGTAAATTCTTGACTTTTTTCTCTTCCATTGGTACTAATGGTTTATTTTTTTAATGGCCAAATGTCATACCATTTGTTTGAAACTTTCGTTTTTTAATTAAAACATTAAAGGCTTGCCTACTAATCTGTCTTTTCTGACTTACCTATTTTCTGCTTACATTTTCACTTTTTTAAAGGCTTATGAGTAGTTTTTAGTAAACTAGTAGGTAGTATAGAATCATTCGTAGGGACATATTGCCAACTTGGGAAAATGATTACTATAAATTTTTTTAACCAAGTGAGGACACAAAGGACATCTTAAATTAGAAAAGAATATTGCTCTTAAACAGTTGGTATGAACTAGTTTGGAACCTATTTCTAAATCATGTAACATTTTCATGTTTGTAAACAATTTAGATTGGGAAGATTGAAAAGCTAATGTTATTTTATTATTTATTTTCTTAATTGATTTTTAGAGAGAGAGGAAGGGAGAGAGAGATAGAAACATCAATGAGAGAGAACATCGATTTGGCTGCCTCCTGCATGCCCCCCACTGGGGATCGGGCCCACAACCTGTGCTCTGACAGGGAATCGAGCCATCAACCTCTGGGTGCATGGGTTGATGCTTAACCACTGAGCCACAGTGGCTGGGCAAAAGCTAATGTTATTTTAAAACAAATTTGGTTTAAATATATGTTTGTGCTTTATTTTAAGGTAAACATTTTAAAAGCTTAAGTTTTTAATTTTTAGATTACTTTTTAAATTATGAGTTAAATAATAATTATTATATTCACCATTAAAGCACTGGTTATGTTTATAAATTATTTGTAGGTCTTAGGCAGCAAGTATACATATTCATTTTCATTTCTTTAATGAGGTGGTTTTGTGATGGTGACAGTAGTAGCGTTCTGTCTTGCTGTCTATTTGGATTGCTGGTGGAAAAATGTCCATTTGGTTTAATTAGCACTTTTAGTAAGAGGCACCATTAGATTTTATTTAAGCTTTTAAATCCACTAACAAAGGTTTTCTAGGTAGGGCTTATTATAAATTGTGAAGAGGAAGTCTTACCAATGATTTTCTTCTGTTCTGCCATTTCATGAGCATTATCTTGTTTAAAGAAGTGTTCGCTGTATGATTATATCTATCTTAATATATACAGTATCATGTTATTTTTAAAGGACAATTATTAAATGTATTACAGTGTTTAATAAATACCTGTGCTCATGACTTTATTTAGTATTTTTCTTGCTTTAGGAATTAATTAGATTTTTTATTGTATGAGATTTTTGCATTTGTTGAATACTAAAGTTAAAAACATTGTATTTAGTGAAACTTGTTTAGGTTTAAATATTAGCATTTCCATTAATGTGCAAATGCTATTTGAATTTTACTTTTATCATATATAAGTTTAGTACAATTTGGTTTGGTTGTCGACCTTAAAATCCATTTGTGCATTTTACTTTGTAATAACTAAGATTCTCTGGCAATCTATAAAATTTTTTTAAAAATATTTTTTCTTTATTAATTTGAGAGAGAGAGAAAGGGAGAGAGAGAGAGAGAGAGAGAGAAACATCGATGAGAGAGAACATTGATTGGCCATCTCCTGCATGTCCCCCACTGGAGATTGAGCCCACAACCTGGGCATGTGTCCTGACCGGGAATTGAACCAGCGACCTCATGGTGCCATGGGTCGACGCTCAACCACTGAGCCACACTGGCTGAACCCCTCCTTACCTCTTATAACATCGAATAGGGTTGCCTCAAAAATATGCTTATAATGTTAAAAATGTTGTATTGAAAGGTAGCACTTATATTCCATGCAGATTTATGATTTAAATTTTGGTGATATTCATAAGATATGTTAGAAAGACTCTCCTGAATTCTTTTATCTGTCTTCATTCTGGCACGTTTATTTATTTATTTATTTATTTATTTATTTATCCTCACCCGAGGATATGAGAGAGAAACATTGGTCAGTTGCCTCCTGTGTGTGCTCCGACTGGAAGTCGAACCCGCAACCTAGGTATGTACCCTGATCGGGAATCAAACCTGTCTATTTGGTGTATGGGACAACACTCCAACCAATGAGACTCAGCTGGACCTGGAACATATTTTAAAATATTTATTAAATGATAAAGGAATATTTAATACTAAATATTATGCTATCCAAATAACTTATTTTAAAATGAAATCAATAATTTATGTTAACCTTTTATATGACTGTAAGAAAATAATAAATATGTAGCCTTTGCTTTTCAGAGAATTTCTATGTGACCCAAGATATATTAATATTGGTTAGATAATAACTGAAATGTCAGCAACAACAGAAGAAAAGTTTATAGTGACATATGACATTGAATAAGGGACAATTTCTATAAAAATTGACATATATTTAAAGGAACCAAAGTACATGTTTGAAATGAATTAAAGCTGTGCACAGGGAGAGTTTTAATTCAAGAGTTAAAGTTTATTGTAAAATAGACTTTTCTTTTAAGCTTAGTATTTTTATGTTTAAGAGCACTGCCATAGAGTGAGATGTGGGCAAGGGTTAGGAAGTGGAGAGGCACATCATATATAGTAACGTGGTTTTATTGGGAGGCTTCCAGCTTCAGAAAGGATTTTTTCCCCCTAAAGTATAAATTGTAGGTCATTATTTAGAAATCAGTGGTCATTTTTTGCATTGTGGGAATCTTACACCAGTTACTTTGATCCTTAGACTCATCCTGTGCCCATTCATCAGTGCTAACTAATCCATAATGTATCAAAAATATGGTACTAATAATACTATATGGCCAACTCACCATTAATTACAATGTATTATGGAAATGCACTCAGTTCCAAGTAGGTATGCCAGAAACGCATCTGTCTTCTGTGGCAGAATAGTAAGAAGGTAGGAAAATTCCTGAGTAAGTAAAATGGGGAAATTGAGACAAGAAAATTAAATGAGGCCAAACAGTTTGGGCAGCTTGCAGCCATCTTTTGAATCATAAGACCTTGTCTTTCCCAAACAAAGACACGTGAGAGCAAATGGTTAATACCTCTTCCTAACCAGAGAGTACAAAGCTTAAATCACCTTGTCCTGGGAAAATAGAGAACACAGACCCAATTAATGCCATTTGTGCCAGCTAAACCCAAGGACAAATATCACTTGGGGGAATGTTAGGTAGGAAATATAACTACTAAGGCAGAAGGAGGGGAAGAGAGAAAGAAGGGAGAGTTTTCTCTCATCCACTAAACAAAGAAGTCAGCAGTGTTGGGATTTGCCAAGATAAAATTGCTGGATGTTCTATTTTTTTTTTTTATCACCTGAGGACATTTCTGCATTTATTCTCAGACAGAGCGGGAGGGAGAGAGGTGGGAAGAGAGAGAGAGAAACATCAACTTGCGAGAGACACTTCGAGTGGTTGCCACCCACATGACCCCAGCTGGGGCTGGGGACAAACTGCAACTGAGGTACATGCCCTTAGCGGAAACTGAACCCAGGACTCTCCAGTCTGCAGGCCCATGCTACAACTGCTGAGCCAAACCGGCCAGGGCCAGATGTTCTTATAAATTCTTGGAAAAGCAATAACAAAGTTAAAGGGGGACCTTGAAGTCTATAATTTTGTTCAGTATATCTGGCAGAGGAATCTTGAAACCTGTAGACAGAACAGTATAAAGCTTCTAACCCTCCACCAGGTGGAGGTGCTCAGACTATCTGGGTTGCCCACTTGTGCTATATGCCAAGTGTATTCTTAATAAATTTACTGGCCTTGCTTCCTTAATAAATTTGCTTGCTTTGCTTCAACACTGCTGCCACTCATCTGAAATCTTTCTTATGAAATTGACAAGAGCTGAGGAGGGGGAAGGCCCCCTTTACTCCCTCCATCTCAGGGGGCTGTCTGATAAAATCCCCCTACTGTAGCTAGAAGGATTTATTTTACCCCCATCCTCAACCCCACCCTCTTTACTTGCCCTTAGTTCCATTTTGTTATTAATAGCTGGCAACAGATTGAAGGAGCTTTTGCCAGTATAAACACTGTTAATGTATGGTGGGGGTTTGTGGGGGATAGGCTTCTTGGTTAGTGTTTTATGAAGCTCAGGGATTGGATTCCCTTTTGTTTAGGACTACTTATCTCTTGGAAGAGAAGTGAGCTACTGCTGTAGCCCTCAGAGAGATAAAATTCTCAATCACAGAGTTGTCATTACTTCTGTTTTTTTTTTTTTTTTTAAAGATATGTTTTTATTGATTTTTTAGGGAGAATGGAAGGGAGAGAGAGATGGATACATCCATGTGAGAGAGAAACATGGATTGGCTGCCTCCTGCACACCCCCTACTGGGGATTGAGCCTGAAACTTGGGCATGTGCCCTGACCGGGAATCACGTTGGGACCTCTCAGTTCATGGAGTGACAGTCCACTGAGCCACACCAGCGGGCATTTCTCTTATCTTTCTAAAAATTCAGCATTGAGAATTACCTGTCATCCCTTGCCTTTTTTTGTTCTTTTGGGTACTTCACTTTTGAAAATTATTTAACTCAAGTCAAAGCTGTAAGCCTGTCCATGTGCAGAGAGTTAAGAGAGGGCAGGGCTTTTCAGTAACAACAATTGAGAGAGAGAGAGAGAGAGAGAGAGAGAGAGAGAGAGAGAGAGAGAGAGGTGGGGCTGAAGAGTGACATGAGATGAGATTATTTAGTTCATGAGGACTTTTATAAGTAACGCTGGTTTTATCCTTCATCCTGGGGCATTGGGCAGCCGTCCAGAAGGGTTACTTTTTTTTTTTAACTTTTGATTTTGCACTAACTTTAGACTTTGAGAAAAGTTATAAAGAACTGTACATTATTTTTTTATACCATATACACATTTTGTCACGTTAGCCTTATCATATCCTTTCTACCCCACTTGCTATTTATCCCTCCTCCCCCGTTCCCATCTGTTTCTGGACCTTTAAGAGAGTAAATTACAAATATCATGATCTTGCCTGACTGATGTGGCTCAGTGGATTGAGCGTCGTTCCATGGACTGAGAGATCCACGTTTAATTCCTGGTTAGAGCACATGGTCGGGTTGCGGGCTCTATCCCCAGTAGGGGGCATGCAGGAGGCATCCCATCCATCTTTCTCTCTCACATCGATGTTTCTAGCTCTCTCAAAAAATCAATAATTAACAAAAATGTGTGATTAATAATTAAAAATTTTAAAATTTATAATACATGGAAATGTACATGATGAAAACAGCAGTGGCTTAAACATAACAAATTAGGTCAAGTTAAAAAATCGAGGCATCATTTAACTTCATAAATTCCTTCAATATGATGTCTCACAATTATATTTGAAGGAGAAAGAACAGGCAAGGGATGAACAGTTTGGCATGAACAAGAGTTTTGTCAAAGCTTTACAGATATGCATTATGACAGTGTTTTCCCTGGGATAAATTCATATACCTGTGATGGTGGCACAATTGAATCATTTTCAGGTATTTGGTAAAAATTGCCTCACTGCCTCTGAGAGACACCGTGACAGTCCACACAGAGCAAAAAGACAGCTACAGTCACTTACCAGTCAGACTCTACTGATAACTTCCTACCTAGGACTTGCTGATCACTTCAACTTGGTGGCTCAAATAGACACTTCTGTAAGTAGCAGGATGGCATTGTGATATATTAACCAGTGTTCTCTTTCAAAAATTTTCTGTTACCCAGTAAACCCCTTACATGGGTAAGTTGACCAGAAATTGTCCATCATCTAAAGGTGAGTTGTCATAGCAGAATAAGAGGATGATATTTCAGGCCCTAGGAAAAGCAAGTTTCAGAAGCAAAACACACAAACTAGAAGAATACAAAATGTGAGAGCCAGGGTTTGTCTACATTCCCAGCCTAGGTAGAGTGCTGGAGGAAGCAAAAGGCAAGACACTGAAGTAAAAGCAAGGGGGTCAGATTTTGCAGGGTACCCAAGGAGGAACTGTGTGCTCTGCCCATAAACTCCAGGCTGAGTGCCTAATAGACTGAGATATGCTTCCCATGTAGGACTGGATTTCAGAGACAATCTCTCTGTCCACTGTCTTTACAGTACTGCTGACTAATGATATTAGAAGATCTACTGCATTGACATGTTATACTTTCCTGAAGTGTGACAGATACAGACTAAAGAAATGCCTGTGAGGCCTGATGAGGCAAATAGGCCTGCAGACAGGTAGTGTTTTGGGGCCTCTAATGCAACGGAAGAGGAGCCAATATGGGCTCCTAAGATGGTCTTCCAAAAATGGGAGATGGGGATAAAAACTGGAAAGGTCCCTGAGTCCGGACTCTAAAGGAATTGATGGAATCAAGCACAGAAGAAGAGACCAAAGGGGAAAGTAGCCCTTTGAAACAGCCCTCCTCATTCACCCCTCTCAAAGCTCAAAGGACCAAAAAGGTCACAGGAGTCAGAAAATAGAGTGTGTAGTAGATCATGTTAAAGACCTTACCTTGGTCTCTGCATCAGGTGAAGCAACACTGGGGGCGGGGGGCGGGGGGGGTGTGCGCAGGAGGATACAGTTATGTATGTCTGCCAAACAGTGATGAGGTGGTGGTGGTGATTCTTTGATAACACACAAGTACTTTTAGAGACTGGGAGTTAAAAAAATATTTTTCCCCCCTTTATTGATTCCAGAGAGAGAGGGAGGGAGATAGAAACATTGGCGAGAGAGAACATTAATTGGCTGCCTCCTGCATGACTTCCACTGGGGATCGGGCCCACGACCTGGGCATGTGTCCTGACTGGACATCGAACCAGCGACCTCTTGGTGCATGGGTCAACGCTCAACCACTGAGCCACACTGGCCAGACAGAGATTGGGAGTTTTTAAAACCAGCAAGTCTTGGTTCCTTTTTGACAATTGTTCTAATTTACTTTATCTCTATATTCCTGCTTTTTACTATAAATAGCAAAAATTCAGATTGCATCTTCTTATTACCTAGACAATCTCCTTGGTTAAACCATGCAATTCATTAAATACATTTTGTATTTTTTGTGTTACCATAAGCAACAATGTTGCTAAACTTTCAGTTACTATACATCTCCCCCCCCCCACACACACACACTCTTTATTTTAAGCTTTCCATAGCAGCCTCCTGAAAGGCCACAAAGATTCTAGTAACAGTGTCTTCAGTGCTTATTAGGCTTTCACTCACAATCTGAAAGTCCTTCCAGCTTCTGCCCACTGCCTAATTCCAAACAACCCCCATATTTTTAGGGTTTTGTTGTTGTTGTTATGATAGCATCCCAATAACTGGTATTTCTAGCTCAGGTTTCTCATCTGATTGCAGTCAAGATACTGGTTGGACTACAGTTGTTCGAAGGCTTGACTAGAAATTGAGGATATGCTCCCAAGATGGCTTATTCACATGACTGTCAAGTTGATGCTGGCTGAGCAAGAACCTCAGTTTCTTTCTGCATGGACCTTTCCGTATGGCTACTTGAGTGACCTTGTAACATGGCACCTAACCTTTTGAGAGAGAGAGAGAGAGAGAGAGAGAGAGAGCGAGCGAGCGCGCGCGCGCGAGCTGTGAGAGAAAGAACAGGGTGAAAGCTGCAGTAAGTATTTTTTGTGACCTATTGTTTTTCAATATCACATATTGTTTTTCCCCCTATTTTAACACACTTTTTTCTAAACTATTTTTTGGTGTTAAATGTATATATAAAAGTATCATTTGGCATTTTAACCAGTTTTAAGACACACCACCAATTTTGCAATATTCTGTTGGTTATGTAGTACCATCTGTTCAGTATGGATGGATACTACCTAGAGGCAAAGATCATTGGGAACTATTTTGGAGGCTGGCTACCACACCCTGAAAATTGGGCAAAGCTATTGTTTCTTACCAAATTTTCACCCACAAGTCTTAGCATTCATTGAAGATTATACCTGAAATAATGTTTGCCACAAGATGATGTTCTAATTCTATCATTCTACATTCATTAGTTGGCATTCCACTGTAAATAAGTTATTCCTTCCCTTTCTTTATTAGTAATGGGGTAGGGGGAGTCTACAGAGGAAATCAAGAAGTAGCAGTAGTTATAGGAGGAACTTAGGAGAGATTGTTATTTTGGAATCCAGGGAAAGGGAATATTTCAAGAAAGCCAGTCAGGGTTCAGCAGTGTTAGATACATATGAAATATCAAGTAGTATATGGATAAATATATATTCTTTGGATTTGTTAACCTGAAATTAAAAAGTGGAGAGGCAAGAAGCATTTTGGGGAGAATCAAAAATTGAAATTTGCAGGGCACAGATTCAGGCTGACTCCCAAATAGTGTTCCAGTTACAGGGCAAAGGCAAAGGGATTTTTATGAGAAAAGGAGAGGAATAATTACATGTATAGAAGAAATTCCTATTGGTGTTAGTAAGCCAAGTTACTCTTTAGATATACATGCTTGGTTACTATTTCTTTCTTTAGATTAGGGAGTCTATATTTATTATTCATTGTGTTTGTAAAGCTTTTCTTCTGGCTTTACAAACAGTTGTAAGACAATGTTTGTTTGGCCTAGTCCAAAGATCTGGCCCAGTTCAAATAGTCTGTAAGATGCACGAGGCAGTTAGCTCATCCGGAATGGCAGTTCCAACTTCATTTTGAAATGGCTTCACTTATGTCAGCTTTCACAGATTTAATGATAAAGAAGTTGTTGAGGGGGAGTTTCAGTGTAAAGATGAGCGAAGAAGCTAATTGAGGTTGCCAACATCACTACTCTTGTAGTTTGGGGCTAAAATAAGCGTTACTTAAACACAAGCACTGGAATACCTTGATAGTCAATCTGATAGCCTAGATGCCTCCCAAGTGACTAACAGGTGGGAGCATATACAGTGTGGAGATGCCAGACAAAGGGATGATTCACATCGTGAACAGAGCAGGATGGCACAAGATTTCATCTTGCTACTCAGAACTGCTACTGAGTACAAATATAAACGATAAGAATTTTTATTTTTGGAATTTTTCATTTCATATTTTTGGACCATAATTAACCTCAGGTAACTGAAATCATAGAAAATAAAATCAAAGATAAAGGGCCGGGTAAGTACTGTATTAAGAAAAGCCTAGAACTGGGCACACAATAACTCAGGTTAGCAGAATGGAGCCTGTTTTTTTCCAGTGGGTCCACGATACCTCACAAAAGTCTCCTAAGCTCTGTATATGGTGCATTTCCCAGATTTGTAGGGTAGGAAGAAAAAACTTGACTGGGGCTGAGCTCTTCTGACTTCCCCCTCTCCCCCCAGTCCTTGGAGTATCAGGTACTCTTGCCATTGCCCTTTGTTGTCTTGAGCCCCTCAGCCTCTCTGCTTTCCACCCCAAGGCCAGCATTGCCAAATCCTTTGTGTCATAATAACTATTTTAAAAGCAAGTGATTTCTTTTTTCACTTTAAAAATGAGCAATAGCAGAAACAAATCAATGTCAAACTTCTACTTGTAACATTTTAACTAACAGAGGAAATGGATGAAGAAAAAGTATGTAGTGCAGAGACAGAATACATTAATAAACTATTTAGCGTAGCTCTCCAACCACGTGTACTTCTCTGTTTAAGCTTGTTTTACTTCTCATATGCAAGTGATAATGACGTGGGCTCCAAGGTTCTCTCTATAGTATTCCCCTCTCCCCTCGCATAAAAATGTACTGTCTCAAACACTTTTAAGTGAAGATTTCTGTGGCAATCAGTGCATTCATATTGTTGTATCTATCACCACCACTCTATCTGAAGAACTTTTCATCTTGCAAAATCAAAACTCTGGCCCTTAAACACTAACTCTCCATTTCCCCTGCCCACCCCCTGGCAACCACCATTCTACTTTCTGTTTGTAGGAATTTGACTACTCTAATTCCTCGTAAATGGAATTATACAGTGTTTGTTTTGTGACTGGCATATTTTACTGAGCATACTGTTCTTGAGATTCATCCATGTTGTGACATATGTGAGAGTTTTCTTGCTTTTTAAGGTAGAATAATCGCATGTATATACCACATTTTGCTTATTTATTTGTTGATAGATACTTGGGTTGTTTCCACTGGTGTACAAATATCTCTGCAAAACCCTGCTTTCAATTCTTTTTTTTTTTTTTTTTTTGGTAAATGCCCCTAGCGGTAACCGAACCTGGGACTCTGTGGTCCACAGGCCTACGCTTCAATCCAATGAGCCAAACCAGCCAGGGCCTGCTTTCAGTTCTTTTTGGTATATACTCAGAAGTGGAATTGCTAGATCACATGGTGATTTTGTGTTTAATTTTTTTTGAAGAACTGTTATTCTGTTTTCTATAGCAGCCATACCACTTTACATTCCTACTAGTGGTTCAGATTTCTCCACATGCTTGCTAACTTTTGTTTGTTCTGTAGTGGTTTTGCACCTTCATTATGATAACTTACTTGGTGTTTGGCTCTTTTGTTTATCTACACGGGACTGATTATTGTCAGATAAACTTTGTGTATTGATTATTGTTTGATAGTTACATTAGAGGAAGAGCCAGATTATATAAAATGTAAAATTTTATTGATTTAGTAAGAAGTTCTAGACTACACCGTCAAATACTACTTTCTGAATTGATAGAAATATTCTATAACTGTGTTGTTTAATACATAGCCACTGGGCACATCTCCCTATGGAGCACTT